TTTCGATGGCCTCCTCTTTCTTTGCTTTCGTCTTCCGTCCTTTGCCTGTTGTTGCTTTCCGTCCCCTGGCCGGCTTCTTTCCACCTTGGGTCATGGTGGACACGGTGGTCATAACACTGTCGTCGTGGTCGGCGGTGATATCAGCGGCGGATGCGAGATCTGATGCGGCCGTGGCAACGGTAGCAACCGACTGCACAGACAGTCGAGAGGCCTTGGAGGTCCTAGCCGCCTTGGCTCTCCCCTTCTTCGGCGCCGGGTACTGGTTGATCAGTGCAAAGAAAGCGCAGCCAGGCTCACGTCGGTAGTGCTCGTCACTGGTCTCTGGTTAGCTCTGACGCGGTGCATACTCTGGTTACTGGGGCGCCTACAATGGATTGTCGCCGGACTCCCAACCCTCGAGCGCAAGGTTGCAGTAGGCGCACGTTGTCATGTCGTCCGCGTCGAGCGAGGGAGTGTACTTCCAGCCACCCTCGACCAGCTGCAACTGCGAGTAAGCCTGTGTCTTTACTGGTGGGCTGCAGTGCGCCTACCTTCTTGGTTTTGCCCTTAAATCCCTTCTTTGGCTCGTACGGCCACCTTCCCGCGAATGTCGCCTTCCGAGCCTCGATCATGGCCGGATCGAGTGGGTGCACCTTCCCGTAGTTACCGAAGCCGGTTTCAATTGCCGCCATAATCGCCCAGCCGCATGTTGGCGAGTGTCTTAGGTGCTCTTCGACCGCGTCATCGTGCTCCTCCCACCCGTCCAGCGACTTGCTGCACAGAAAGCACACCACATTGTCGGGGCTCTTTGGATGCGGTTCGAAGTAGAATCCGGCTTTCGCGAGCTGATGAAGATATCGTCAGTCTGAGTTGATCATCAATCGCACCATACATTCAAGACCTACCGCGACCGGAGAGAGTGTCTTGTGCGGCCAGTGGAGGGCCTTTGGCGCGCGCGGCCCTGCGGTGGAAGCCCGCCCCTTGGAGACCTGCTGAGGACCGGAGAATGAGGCGAGACGGTTCTCAAAAACGAAGTAATGACCATCCGGGTCCATCTCTAATGGTGAAAGCTGAAAGCGCGTCGCCTCCTCGGGTTATGGTGTGCTTCGTTTGTCGGGAAGGCCGTCGAGAGTTGAGGGAGGCGCGATTTCATGGAGGACCAGCGCTGTGTTGTGAAGCTCCTTACAGCACTTATCGCAATAAAGACACAGAGTGTAGACTGAGCAAATTGCGGCGCTACTCTTGCGGTTGATGATGTGTTTGGTCTCGGCGTGTCGGACACTCGGTCGTGGTGGGGAGAGAAGGGGCGTTCGCCAAAACACTGATGCGCCCAGCCGTGATTGGCCCACGGAGCCGCGTTTGTTTACTTGCCGCTGTGGGGCTAGCTATTGCCGTAATGGGTTAGTTCGCAATCTGCCTCCAGAGCCCTCACGTGACCTGAGACTCGGTTTCTCGGTGAATATCGGCAAGTGGAAACGACAACATCCAGCCTCCAGCAAATTCCTCCTGCCACTGCAATCATGCAATGGTCACGGCTGACGATGACAATCCAAAACGGACTTGATCAGCACAACACTGCAGGCAACGGACCAGTCTCGGCCTGCGGCTTGTGGCTTGTCTTCCTTTCAACCTCTCAATACGGAGTACTTCGTACCCTGTGATGCTTCACGTTCCCTTCTTCTGACTTGACGGTTCAAGAAATCTGAACGAATTTTGTATCTGGCCCCCCCGTCCCTTGGGCATCAAGACTAGGTATTGGGGGTTCCCGTCTTGCTCCTGCAAGGCCAACGTCTTTCCGAGCGACAGCCAAGTGGCAAGCTCTACTTATTCTGGTACGGCATATCCACCTCTTCGTCCACACAGTTGTGGGGAATCCGGTGGTTTTACGGCTCGACCCTATTACGTACGAGTCCGGGGTACGGTCGACATCTTCGAAACAGGTTCCGCACTCTGGTTTTGTCCATCCGCTGATCCGTGCCGCTCTTTTGTTGGCCTGCGGCCAGGTGCGAGTTCTCAAGGTCCAGCTTGCGGCAGCCCTTGATGCGGCGCTGGACTGAGAGCTGTTGAGACAAGCTTTTTAGGGCGGCGTTGCCGAGCTCGAGGTGATTGAGACAGGCGGATTGTCCCGAGTTGCCGTCGCCTTACCGGCATTTCCTTTCGGGTGCCGTGTATTATGGCACCATGTCCGTCATAAACCCAATGGTGGTTCAACGTGACCGACTCCTCTCAACTCCACATCCGCTATGAGAAAATATTTGTCAGAGATAGGGATATTAGGGACACCGGTTTCACCAACCATGGACGGCTGTCGCTTTTCGCCGGCAATCCCGCTATCCCTGTCGCGGCCGAGGGACGGGCGAATGGAGCCGCAGAAAGATGGAACGAACGAGCTTCTCAAAGGACGGATGACTCGTGTAGAACTATGGGATCGTCTGCACGATCAAGACGAGATGCCGTGGATTGTGCACGACTGGCGGGATCCGGGGACAGGGGATCTGGGGGTACCGATTGAGGCACTTGTTAGCTCTCCGGGTGTGGGATGAACCACGGAATGGCTGGGAACACCCTGAGTGCATGACGAGCACCTCACTTGCCTCACCGAGGACCACACGGAATGCACGAAGCCGGCAGATGAGGTAGGGATTTGGCCGGATGGGGTTGGGTCTTTTGCAAATCTTATAACCACCGCTCTCGGCCGTCGCTCCCCCGACCGCAACCCGACTTGTTGCTCCTTCTTTCCAGGACTCGGATAACGACCATCTCGCTGCTGCTTTCCCTCACCACAGCCGCCGTGCCTCGCCTGCTCTGGGTTTCAACACACCCAGGCACGGACAAACGTGCCAAGCAAGAGACCACCTCGCCCATCCCCGACTTCAGCAGGAGTTCGCAGCCATGGTGACCGCCAACCAGGCCATGGACATCCGGCCTTCGGAAAAGAAGAGCACCTTATTTGAGGCTCCCGATTCGGCAGTTATGGGATCAGCGTCAGAGGATGAAGTGGGCGAGGTGCGTGCCACGGCCGGCATGGACGACTACGAGAAGCAGAAGGCAGCCGAGGGCGAGGCGCACTTTCACAGGCTGGGCTGGAAGCGCCTCACCATCGTGCTGATCGTGACAGCCGTCGCTCTTGGAAGCCTCAGCTTGCCCGGTGCCTTCGCGACGCTGGGCATGGTGGCCGGCGTCATCCTCACGGTCGGCATCGGGCTCGTCGCCATGTATGCCAGCTACGTTGTCGGCCAGATGAAGCTCAAGTACCCGCACATCTCGCACTACACCGACGCGGGCCGTATGATGTTTGGAAACATCGGCTACGAAATAGTCAGCGTCATGTTTGTGCTGCAGCTGGTCTTCACCACGGGCTCCCACGTCCTGACCGGCGCCATCATGTTCGGCAACCTCTCGGAGAACGGCGCGTGCACCATCGTCTTCACCGTCGTCTCGGCCATCGTCTTGTTTCTCGTCGCTATCCCGCCTAGCTTTTCCGAGATGGCCGTCCTCGGCTACATAGATTTCGCATCCATCATCGCCGCCATCTTCATCACTATCGTCGCCACCGGCGTCCGCGCGGGCGAGCAGGCCGGCGGAGTCTCGTCGGTCGAGTGGCTGGTCTGGCCCAAAGAGAACGTGACGCTCGCCGAGGCCTTCATCGCCATCACAAACATTGTGTTTGCCTACAGCTTCGCGCTCTGCCAGTTCAGCTTCATGGACGAGATGCACACCCCCAGTGACTACGACAAGGCCATCGTGACGCTCGGCGTCTTTGAGATTTTCCTCTACACCCTCACGGGCTCCCTGGTCTACGCATTTGTCGGCCCAGACGTCAAGTCGCCCGCGCTGCTGTCGGCCGGGCCCGTCGTCTCCAAGGTGGCGTTCGGCATCGCCATCCCCGTCATCTTCATCTCGGGCAGCATCAACACGACGGTGGTGGCGCGCTACATCCACGGGCGCGTGTTCAAACGTTCCATCATCCGCTACGTCAACACGCCCATGGGCTGGGCCACGTGGATCGGCCTCGATGCCGCCATCACGCTGCTCTCGTGGGTCATTGCGAGCGCCGTCCCCTTCTTCTCGGACCTGCTGGCCATCACCTCGGCCCTCTTCGTCTCGGGCTTCACCTTTTACTTCCCCGCCATCATGTGGTTCATGTTCATCAGGGAGGGGAGCTGGTGGCGCGGGAGGAACCTGCTCCTGTCGGCTGCCAACGCCTTGTCGTTTGCCGTGGGCGTCGTTGTGCTGGGCGTTGGCACCTATGCGAGCATCTGGGATATTGTGAGTAGTGCCGCGCCATCTGTCTGCTGGCTGCTAAACAGAGGCTAACCTCGATCTACAGATTCATCGGTACCGCTTGGGGATAGTTTCGGATCCGTTTAGCTGTTCGCCGCTCGCTTGAGGTTGCATCGGCATGTTTTGTTTGGAAGGGTGTGGAGTTTGTAGAGGGCTGTGGTCGAAAATGCGGTGGAGGCCCTGGCCGCCTTGGCCGCCTCAATGTCGTGTTACGATGAGTGGGAGTTTATTGAAGGCATGTTGGGGCATTCCTCGGAGTACGCGGGTTATGCGGTGTTTGGTTCCACGGATAGAATTCTCTGTATTACCTCTACATAGCAGGGCAAGGATGAATGGGTTTTTGCATCATCATTCTTGCATCGTGGGAGGGACATGGCCACCCGACGTCTCGACTCCCGCTGCTGGCGGTCCTTGTCCCTTCGGCTGTTATTCGAAGTGTGTAAGCCCCTCAGAAAACAGCTGGAATAAAAGGCATGATACAAAAATGTGTCGAACAGTTGCGACTCTCATTTTAACGATGCTCATCAAGCAACAACACAACCAACGGGCCGATTCTCACGAGTCACCAGCGAAAGCTCAGGGTTAGCCCTAGTTACCTCGGCTTCGGGGGTAATTCGCCCCTTTTCATCCGCGAACTCCTCCACAACAATCCCCATCCACATCCACACTCCCAAACCAAAAAAGAACTTTGCCAAAAGATTGATTGAGGAATTTTTTTTTTAGCTCTCGAGAGCTTTTGCCCAGTAACAGGATTGAACTGTTGACCTTGGCATATACCATATACGGGGGTAACCCGGTATTAGTACCACGCTCTAACCAGCTGAGCTAACCGGGCGGGATTCTCTTCTTTTTGTTGTTGGTGTTGTCTGTCTGGGATGTTAGGTTTTCTATATCACTTGGGTCTTGTTTCCTTCTCACCAGTTGCCTCGGCTGTGATTGCATGGTAGATGTCCAAGTCGTGCACACACCAAAACACATGGAGGTGGTCCCAGATATCCCATCGAGCAACTCACATGAACCAGGCCCCAACAACAAAGGATCAGTTCTCGTGTTTGTTTCTGGCTTCACCTCCGTCATTGCCTAGGTTAGTGTGTGTGTATGTATGTTGAAGAGACCCGAGCAGAAGTGGTAAGCTGGTAGGGCGGCTGTGGTGAGGGTAGGGGAGGTAGGTGTGTTGCCAGTGCGAGAGCACACCTAGCGGCTCTTCTAAGCCTCCCGTTGTACAATCTAGCCCTGGTTTGTTGTTTAGTACGGAACTTGCAAGTCTAACTAGGTATTCGGCCTCCTCTTCCTCCTCTTCCTCCTCTTCCTCTTCTTCCTCTTCTTCCTCTTCTTCCTCTTCTTCCTCTTCTTCTTCCTCCTTTTCCTTAACTTTTTTTGGTTCCTCTATTCTTTCTTTCCTTTTTTATTTTACTCCTTCTTCCTTTTTCTCCTCTTCTCCTTTATTTCTTCTTTCTCTTATTTTTCTTTTTCTAATAACTAGTCTTTTCCCACTTTTTTTAAATTTTATTTTTATTCTTCTTCTCTTCTCTCAATACCTTATAGCTACGTAGCACGTTAACGGAAAACTAGGGTTAGATTGTGAGAAAAGGGGGGGAGGGAGGCGGAGGTTCAGGAATCGGAGTAGTGCCCCGAATTGGCGAAGAAGTAAAAAAAAAAGCGGAACGAGGTAGGAAGAAGCACCACCGCTATGCCAGACAGAACATGCCAACCGGTAAGGTAATAGCAACCACAGGAACTACCATTGCAATACACGTTTGATACATCTCATTCACCGACCATGCCACTCACTCAATCATCCATCGCCTAGTCAAGATCACCACACTCGCAACGGGCCGTGGCCGTGGCCGGACGGACGGACTATGGCACATCACATCATACGATATCTCCCTACGCAACCACCTGCCCCGCCTCAGTGAGCCCCAGCTCCTGGTAGAAAGCCTCGGAGCTCGGCTTGCGGCCCAGGAACTGCTCGAGGGTGAGCATCTCGTCCTGCGACCCGCCCTTGCCGAGCACCGTGTGCCGGTACCGGCGGCCCTGCACGGGGTCCATCGGGTTGCTCTTGAAGACGGTGTAGAACATGTCGGTCGAATACACCTGCGACGACAAGTAGCCGTAGTAGCCGGCATCGTAGCCGCCGATGAGGTGGCCGAATGTCGCCTGGCCGTTGCCCCAGGTACTGAAATCACGAGATATGGTCAGTAAGTATTACGTGGTGGATAGCAGGGGTGTAGGGGCGGATGCAAAAAGAAAACAACAAGGAAAAGAAAGGGAAAAAAGGGAAAAAAGGGGAAAAAAGGGAAAAAAGGGGAAAAAGGGGAAAAAGGAAAAAGAGGGGAAAAAAAGAAAAGAAAGGAAGACCTACCTGGGCTCGCCCTGCGATTCGGGGCCCTTAATTTGGGAGATCTGCACGCGCAGCTCGTTGTACAGCTTGCTGACGTCCATCTGGTCCAGCTCCTCGTGGGTCTTGGGGGTGTGCACAGCCATGTCGAACAGGCCAAAGTGCAGCTGGCGGAGGTTGAAGAGGGCGTCATTGACGTGCTTGGTCGAGATGAGCTTCTCGATCAGGTCGTCCGGGATCGGCTGGCCCGACTCGTAGTGGCTGCTCAGGCTCTTGAGCTGGCTGGGCGTCCAGCACCAGTTCTCGAGCATCTGGCTGGGCGCCTCGACAAAGTCTCGCACCGTCGACGTCCCGTGATAGCGCGCGTACCGGGTGCGGGCGACCAGGTCGTGGATGCCGTGGCCTAGTTCGTGGAAGAGGGTGACGACTTCATCGTGCTTCAGGAGCGACGGCTTCTTGTCGGTCGGCTTGCTGAAGTTGCAGACCAGCGCAGTGGCGGGATACCTCCTGGTGCCGTCGGGCTTGAGGAAGCCGGGCTGGAGGCTGAAGTTGGCAGCGTGGCCGTACTTGCCCGGACGGGGATGAAGGTCGAGGTAGAGGTAGCCGACGAAGCCATCGCCCTCGCTCGAATCGTCCCAGACGCTGAAAATGATGACATCTTCGTGCCACGCAATGTCCTCGGCCGTTCCGGTGGGCGAAATGCGCTTGCGGTCCTCGGGTGTCAGCTCGACAAAGACCAGACCAAACAGCTCCTCAAAGATGCGGAGCATGCCAGCGACGGTCGACTTGAGCGGGAAGTACTCGGCAATGGCATTTTCATCAATGCTGTACTCCTCCTCGATCATCATGCGGTCGTAGAACCGATGATCCCAAAGGTAGTAGTTTCCATCAAAGGGGAGGCTGCGCGCCTCATGGTCCTTCTTCTTGAGCGCCAGCAGATGTTCAATCTCCTTGATGCCACCGGCAGCGAGGCGAGACTTGAGGTCTCCGAGAAAGTCAAGGACCGTTTTCGGCGTCTTGGCCATCTTGTCTTCGATGCGGAACGAGGCGTGGTCGGGGTAGCCGAGAAGACGGGCGGCCTCGTCGCGAAGGAGAATAGCCTCTTTGAACAGGGGCGCGTTCTGGTTGCACTGCCTGGGTGTCAGCACCGTCACAAGCCCCTCGCCTCGCAAAACATACCTTATTCTCGTTCTCGATGAAAACTCTCCGTCGCAACTCAGGGCTCTTTGCAAACTTGAGCGTCGGGAACAGATCGGGGTACTTGAAGCTTAGCCGGATCTTGCCCTCGTTTTCGCCGCTGCCCTTCTCCAGCGTGTCCAATACATCCTGGGGGACACCGTCGAGCTCTTCCTTGGCGAACCAGATGCCATTGTTCTCCTCATTGAGGTTCTTCTGGAACTTGATCTGGATCTGGCTCAGCCGCTTCTTGATCTCCTTGAACCGGTCCCTCTTGGGGCCCTCGGGCAGGCCCAGCCCGTTCCGGATGTAGCTCTTCCTCTCCCTCTCCAGCAGCCGCGCGGACTCGACGTCGTCCAGACCGGCACTCTTGGCCAGGGCAGCGTCGATCAGCCGGTCCTTGTCCTGCTCGATGCTCGCCGAGAGACCCGAGTTGTTGTAGACGGCGTCGACGGGGCGGAAGACGTCCTCGCGCATGCTGCACTCGATGGAGAACTCGTCCATGATCTTCTCAGCCTCGGTGCTGGCGTCCCGCAGCGCGCTGTCCCCCGAGACGTACTGGTAGAAGCCGAGAATGCGGGCGCTGAGGGCGCTCTCGTTCTCGTCCTCGATCTGGGGGCGCAGGACCGATTCGAACGTGGCAGCGGCGGGGTTCTGGTCGGGCTTGATGCCGGCAACGAGCGCGTCCAGGACAGAGCGGGTGCGGTCGCACAGCGCCTTGGAATCGGCCACGATGCTGTCCTTGGTGCCCGTGAAGAGCGGCGGGGCCTGGGGAGGGTTGGCGTACTTGGCCATGTTGACGTTGGACGGGTGCGTAAAGGTCGAGGATTGGGATGAGTACGTCAAAGTGCCCAGAGCCGGGCGACCAGTCGAGACAACAGCAGGGAAGCCTCCGAGCGGCGCCTGGGGGTGGTGATTGCTGACCCGGAGTCGCGTGAACAGGGCTGAGAGTCGGGGCACGAGGCGCGGGGCAGCCAGGATGACGGTCGTTGCAGAGAAGAGGAAAACAGAAAGAAGAAGCAGGAAGACGGCCTGCCGAATGGGAGCAACGGGCGCCAGTGTAAAGAAGGGAGGGGGTTGACTGTTGGATGAGAGGTCTGACGAAACCGGAGCCTTGAACCCGACAAAGCAATTGGGCTGCGGGGAAAGTCAAGGACTGCAGAGAGCGACGGGAAGAACCTGGAAGTCCGGGCGCGGTGAGATGGCACAGTTGGGCGGTCAGAGGGCAGGGCCGCGAAATCGAGACTGGGCTCTCCAATGTCTATACCAAAGAAGCTTGAATACCCAATGAGGCCGCCTTCGTATCTGCTTTCTATGAGGTTGGAAGTGGTGATGGTGACCTTCGATAATGGAAGTTCAATGGGTCATGGAGCTGAAGCCGAGGATCCATGGAGCTGTGAAGAGTCGAAGACCCACCGGTAATCGACGCCAAGCCCTCTGGGGTGCATTCGTTTCAGATCCAGTTGCAACTTGCAATCGCATGGCACAACTGTCCGGCACTCTTCACTCAGCAACACTTGGTGGAATGATTCCTGCTTGCTATCTAGGTCCTGTGCCCGCACCCTGCCCGAAATCCCGAACGGTGTGACATGGACACCGACCCAGGAGCCCAATTTCAATACAATCCAGAACTGCACGAGACTCCAACGCCGGCCGCCCATCATAACATATGCAAAGTCCCATGTTTCCCTGCCCGGTCCTCTCGTAGACCGGCCGCTTCGTCATGAAAGCGCCCATACCCTCTTCACCTCATCTAGTTGGAAAGGACGGTCCGAACGAGCTCTGCGTGAACAGGCGTCAGCAGTGACCCAGTTGCATGACAAGGAGATGCCCCATACCTGTGTAGTTCACCTGCCCGGAGCTGGTATCAACTGCCTTGAGCAGCTCGTCCACCTCCTCCTCCGTCATCTTCTCGCCCAGGTTCGTCAGGATGTACTTGAGCTGGCCGACGCCGATGAATCCCGTCATGTCTTTGTCGAACACCTGGAAGCCGCGGCAGTATTCCTCGGGCTCGCCGGGGTCGCGGAAGCCGCCCGGCCGATTCAGGATGCGCTGGAAGGTCTCAAAGTCGACTGTCAAAAGGCAGACGTCAGTTGATGATGTCGTCGCAAACGCTGGCCCTGGCCACGGGGGTGACTCACATTCACCGCCCACGCTCTTCTCGAGATCGCGAATCTCGGCGAGTGTTGGGTTTTGCCCGCAGGCGCGGAGGAGGTCGCCGAGCTTGTCGAGAACGACACGGCCGACACCGCGCGTGTCAAACAGCGAGAAAGCCTCCTTGTAGTTGGTTGAAGCCTGCGTGTCACGCTTGTTAGGAG